AACACGTCCGGCAACCGACCATTTATACTACGACCGTGAGCTGCAATCTGCTTCTGTCTGTTGGCGCACATAACGTGTGAAATATGAAACACTTGATCGGTTGGTCTGAGCATCGTCGATGCTGATGGCTGAATGAATGCAGCTCAATAATCAATCGCACGTCTTGTTTAAATCTGCTCACAAAGGCTTGTACGACGCGCTTAGTCATGGCGAGGCGTCAACAAACCGGACAGCATCGGTTGTTTAAAGACGATTGTTCAGACGAAAACTCCAACAGTGATACTTCGTTTGAAGACATCTGATTCGACAGGCACCTCGCACGGGCAACCCCCATCACTGGAAGCATGAGTTAACTTGAGGTTGAGGTTAAGCTACAGTATCGTTGCCGTCTTCGTTCGAATGGTGTGCTCTGATCGGACGTGACCATGAGGTGTTTCCATTGAAATATGACATGAAATGTTCTTCTGATTAAGAATCAGGCTGCTGGACTTATTTGCTATCTCGTGAATCCAGGACGTTTTCGACCGATTCCATGATTCAAAAGGTTTGCGACAACGACGGCGGAAGCGTCTCATTCTTCCAGCGCTTTTTTGCCGTTCCATGTCAAGTCAGAATAATTTATCAGAATAATAATGTATCTTCAGCTGCCATAATCCAGCAAATGGTTCGGATTCGATTATGAAATCTGTCTTCTTCGGTTGATCTGAAGACGTGACTCTAACAGTACGGAAACAGTGTAAGACTGAACATATGCAGCAAGGATTCCCGCATATTCTTCTTAGCTCATTCGCATCATAAACAGGGCTACTAAAATCTTCAATCCCGACAGCAATATCCTTCCTATTTTTATGCGATCTCGGGACAAAGTTTTTAGTTTTACCCTTATTCATTTCCTTGATTTTTTCAGCTTCTGGGCCACCTTACCTGCGGAATCGCAGGTTTTCGTGTCAATCAGCCGAACCAGCGGCGGCTGCTTTTGACAATTTTTCGGGTTGCTGCCGCTACTCTTAATGTGCCATTTATGAAAGTATTCCTAATGTGGTCATACCTGTTCGCAATGCGCATAAATATTGTTGTTTTACTTGTCCTCGGTGTGACCAAACATTAAGTTCCATACAGCAGTACAGATCTTGCCACTGTCTTACAGATCCGCCCCCTTAGTGTGATGGATATTTTCATGTCTCTAAGCAATCTGCTCATTGAAGTCACGCTAATTTTATCGATTTCTGTTTCTGTTAATTCGCTGTCAAGTTTTCTCTGTCGTGCATAAGGTTATCTAGATAACTGAATTTCTGAATTTAGGTAGATGACCCACTCACATCAAGGAAAGATAGACTTTAACTATTTGTACCATAGTTATTTAGCTCAGTTATCCATGAAAATAGCACCCAGCGCGAAACATTATCAACAGCCTCTTCCCGCAAAATGCTGAGCTAACCATTGAAACGGAAAATAACTCAATTCTAATTTTTCCTGATGTCCTAGTAATTAACTCTTATAATTCAATGAAACCAAAGTTTATCGTGAATCTACTAACACTGAAAAATATTTAATCTTGAATTCACATAATCCTTTAAATGGTAAATGATTTATAATCATAGTTTTAACTGAGCTTTTAAACTCT